GTCTAGCGTCCGCAGCACCCCTGGTTCAGAATTTGCCTCCTAATTTAGAAAGATGTTATGAGACATCTAAATGCATTTGGTGTGCACCATGACACACACATATTTACACTTTCAGGGTGCTGGGGTACACCAAACGCACTATGAAAGATCTCAGGCCTAACAAAATCCCAGGTCTACACACCATTCACATTTCAAGGTTCTAAAACCTGAATGTTGCTTTTGATATTTTGAGTTGGGTATTGAGAGAAGTTGAAATAATTATATCCACAAATATGCAGATTACAATTATGCACACCTGAATTGCCAAATGCCATACAAAAAAAAAAGCATTCTCTGTGTGCTTAAATGTTGTGTCACAAGACTCTTAAAAGTGCATATTTTGAATTAGTCTTATGTGCACTTACATACAAAAAGTAAGCAAAATATTACAACTATTTTGAATGTTTACATGACATTAAGTAGTCTTCATGGAATCATGAAGAAAGACAGTACGTCAGAGGCAATACCCAAGTGGACAACAGTATCTGTGTCCATTGGAGCAATTTGGATTTCTTTCAGCTTGCATTTCTTCTCCTAAGAGTAAACCCTAAAGAACTGCATTGTCTTCAGCTGGCAAATAAGGAATAAAATCTGGTTCATAATTAGGCTGGGGGGTGTCCCAGGGAAGCCAAAACATTAATAAATGATGCCTTTTCTTCCACATACTCAGTGAAGTTATTGGTACCACAAATCATCACATTACTTTAATTGATATTATACAGGAAATACCTTCTCTCATATTCTATGTAAGTATATATAAGAGAGTGTATTTACATATTTATAGTTATTAGCAATAAACCAAAACAGAATGTGAATTACTAGGATGTGGGTACCCTTCACAAGAACACAGCTAAAGGCCTTTAGCAACTTTCACAGAGCATCACTAGAGCTTAGTATTAGAGTTTAGCCCAGACAGCCTAGAACAGGGGTGGGCAAAATGTGGCCCGTGGGCCAGATGCAGCCCACCAGGCCATTCTATCTGGCCCAAGGGGCCCCTAAAAATTTAGAAAATTAATATTTATCTGCCCCTGGCTGACCGTCACGCGGCCCTCGATGGCTTGCCAAAACTCACTAAGTGGCCCTCTGCCCAAAATAATTGCCTGCCCCAGCCTAGCATGTTTACTACTATGCAACCATAATTACTTAATTTGAAAATATGATTAAAAACTAACTTTGACAGGAATGTATGCAAAGTATTATTATGGAAAGAAAATTCACAGTGGAAGGATAAGAAAGATTTCCTACAATTTGACCAAGTTTCTCCTAAAATTATTTGGCTGCTTGTTCACACGTTGGGGCGGGGAGGGGGTATGTGTACCTTCTGTCCCCAGCCCTATAGGCACCCTTTGTAAATAACTACTCTTCTTTCAGGTGCCCTGTTTGGCTCATGCAACCCTGTATCTCATTCCCCATGAGCCTACTTTCCCTCCCAACACTTTGCAATGTTTTGGTCATTTTCAGCTCCTATTTTCTAGAAGAAAAAAATAATTTGAGAATAATAAATACATGCACAACTAGTGGAAGTGCATAATTTTGTTAATTACAGAAGAGAATTTAAAATGTCCAAAGAGTTGCTGCTGAAACCAGGAGATCATCTGAAAGAGAAAGGCAACTTGAAATTATTTCTATGCCCCTCCTTCCTTCTCCTCTTGCCATTTCCCTAAGGTTCCAACTGAGCTTGATCTCTTAATTTAGAAATGGGAACTCTGATTCAGCTTCCTACTAAAACACATATTTCAGAGGTACTCATCTGCTTTTCAAACATGGCAAAATACTGTGGCTAGCTTTGCAAAGTAACCAGCAGTTTCTCTTTGAGGTTCTACTGTATCATGAGCACTAGCAGCAGGACTTCTAAGGAAACTACAGG